CGTCATACACAGCCCGGGCTCCCCTCTACCCGCCCCCCCCCTCACCGAACTTTAACAACTTTCGTTAACTTTGCCCGGGCTCTATGTAACCGTTTTACCCCGACACGGCTCTGCCCCCCCTCTTCTCCCGCCCAGCACGCAAAGTCAACCGAACTTTCAAGCCGCCCGTCCTTCACCCCCCGCCGCCATTACCGTGACCGGCCCGTCCGCTCCGTCACCTTCCCCGGCTCGTTTCCCCCGCCCGAACTTACCTCAAACGCTGCCCGAGTCTCCGTTGGCGGCCATGATAGTCACATCCGGGGATTGTCCTGGTTTCGGTAGACCTAAAATGGACTCCCAGGCAGAGACGGCGGAGTGATCTGCGCTCCACCTTGTCTCTGTGGTGAGGCCGCCAACTCTTCCCCTACACTCATTGTTGCATAGGGATAAGACCAATGACTGCTCAATGCGTCCTGCACCCGCTTCTTATCAATTCTCACAACCAAACACGGTTCTTTTTTTTGTGTGTGTGTGTATTTGTATTTTTTCTTCCCGTGACTGAGCTTCATTGCTGCCTGTTTTCTTGGCTCCCTCATCGAATTGAGAGCTTATAAGACATGTCAAACAGGCAGCTTTGGCTGGCACTATTTGTCATGAGGTACTACATCTTGTGTATGCAAAGAGCCATTGGAGATATGTCGCAGTGTACCTCATGAAGAGCAAAAAGTCTTCATGAATATAAAAAACACAGTTCAAGACAAAAAAATCACTGGAGCATTGTTCATTCCAATGAGTTTCCTGACTTTTCTTCCATTCTAAAACTTGCCTCACCACAAACTGGATAGCAGTTGACTGATGACTATTGTTCACTTTTCATTTAAAAGAACACCCCACCTTAGTGGCCATTTGCACCAATATTAAGGGTGTGATATAAAGCAGGGTCACATTTATCAACCCCCCCCATTCTGAATTTTGGGGTGCTCCTTTCCATATACCCCTGTTTATTGGTTAGTAGATTTTTATATTGACTATATACACATTATATGATGCCTCCTTAACATGCTGGGGTAACTATTTGTAATGTACCTCTATATTTTCCATTTTGAACATTTAGTTAGTAACACTTCACTTCATCACCCCTCATATTTATAATGCTATCTGTCTCCCCTTTAAATCTGTCACTCCTAAATCTATAATGCTTTATCGTGTCATAACATGGCATTCTGATGTTTTATTATAGTACAGCATGAGCCCAGATCAATCTGTCACCCCTAAATCACGCCGCTGCATCATCTGTAAATTTATAACACGTCATCACCTGTCACCCCTAAATCTAATGCCTCATCCCTTATCATCTGTAAATCTATAACATATCACCCCCTAAATGTAATGCCTCATTATATGTGATCTCTAAATTCATAACGTCACCCCTAAATCTAATGTGTCCTTATCTGTCATCTTTAAATCCATAACATGTCACCCCTAAATCTAATGCTTCATTAAATGTCATCTCTAAATTTACAACTTCACCCCTAAATCTAATTCCTCATTATAAGTAATCTCTAAATTCATAACATGTCACCGCTAAATCTAATGTCTCCTCATCTGTTATCTCTAAATCTATAACATGTCACCCCAAAATCTAATGTCCCTAAATTATATGGCATTTCTAAGTCATTAAAACATCACCCCTAAATCTAATGTTTCATTATCTGTCATCTCTAAAACAGCCACCCCTAAATCTAATGCTTCATTATCTGTCATCTGTAAATCTATAACATGTCACCCCTAAATCTAATGCTTCATTATCTGTTATCTGTAAATCTATAACATGTCACCCCTAAATCTAATGCTTCATTATCTGTCATCTGTAAATCTATAACATGTCACCCCTAAATCTAATGCTTCATTATCTGTCATCTCTAAATCTTAAACAGTCACCCCTAAATCTAATGCTTCATTATCTGTCATCTCTAAATTTAAAAACAGTCACCCCTAAATCTGATGCTTCATTATCTGTCATCTGTAAATCTAAAACAGTCACCCTGAAATCTAATGCTTCATTAGCTGTCATCTGTAAATCTAAAACAGTCATCCCTAAATCGAATGCTTCATTATCTGTCATCTGTAAATCTAAAGCAGTCACCCCTAAATCTAACGCCTCATTATCTGTCATCTGTAAATCTAACATAGTCACCCCTAAATCTAATGCTTCATTATCTGTCATCTGTAAATCTAAAACAGTCACCCCTAAATCTAATGCTTCATTATCTGTCATCTGTATGTAAAACAGTCACCCCTAAATCTAATGCCTCATTATCTGTCACCTCTTCATCTATAACATGTCACCCCTAAATCTAATGCTTCTTTATCTGTTATCTGTAAATCTATAACATGTCACCTCTAAAGCAGTCACCCCTAAATCTAATGCTTCATTATCTGTCACCTCTTCATCTACAACGCTTTATCCTCTGTCATAACCTGTCATTATGATGTTCTATTACAGCCCCACATAAATCCAAATGAGTTGGTCAATCTGTCACCCCTATTATGTGCAGCCGCATTGTCCATCTGTCATCTCTAAAACAGGCCACCCCTAAATCTAATGCTTCATCATCTGTCACCTCCAAATCTAAAATGCTTGATTATCTGTCATAATTCAACATTATGATGCTTTATTACAGCACCACGCAAGCCCAAATAATCCGTCAATCTGTCACCCCTATATCACTCAGCTTCTTCATCTATTTACTGGATCTGTGAATGGTTAGACTACAATTCCCATTTGGGAGAAGAACTCGTAGATCGCACTTGTAGTTCATTGATTACTTCCTGCAGCCCCATAATTGAAGGTCCGTAACTCCATACAGACCTGGGGTTGGAGGAATAGGCTTCCACTGAGAGCAATTGCGATGCTTTGCATGCTCCATTTCAACACAATGCTTACATTCCCATTTTTTGTTTCATTTAATTATTATTTTTTTCAAAAAGGTGGACTTTGCCTTCAAAGGGGAACATCACCCCCCTTCCTTATTTTTTTCTTCAATTCCAAATTAACTATTTTGCTTACATACCTACATGCCTAGCGAATCCAGCATTGTGTCACTCCACTGCTGCACACCCAGTCCGCCATTACATCATCAGGGGCTAGCTGTCTCCTACTTTTTCTTACAGTGCACCCCCTCATGACATGCAATTTAGGAGACTTCGGGCCAATCACGTGCATGCACTGTGGTGAGTCATAAGGGGGTAGGCTGCAAGAAGCGGGAAGGGAAAGCCAGCTCCTTGATAATGTGTCACGACCCATAGATATGATTGGCTAGAAGCCTTCCGAGATAGGTGACATGAGTATCCCCGGAGGCTGATGGCAGCTGGAGGTACATCATTCTCACCTAGGCAAGAAACCAAGTGTGCAGGGCCAGTTAGTGTGGGAAAGGAGGGCGGAGAAGTCATTTTATGGAAAGAAGGTGAAGGTCTACTTTAAAGTGGCAAATATTATTTAATGAGTTCTAGCAAGTATGGCAAATGTAATATTGAATCTACTACTTTGTTGGCATCAATGTCAATTTTACCAGTTGACCGCACCGTAGAAGAGACACTCAATACAAATTCATGTTTACGACTCATGAGTGTATATGGTATAAATAGTAATATATTATAAGGCAAAAAGAAGATATTTCTTTACATGTATGCAAAACCAAAATTTATTTTAGATAAAGTAGGAAAGGGTTAAAATCCCTGTCCTTTGTTGTTTTTTTTTTGTCTCTGTAACATGAGGGAAATTTGCCTTCAATTCCCAGAGACGCAACAGGAAGTTAATGGAAATCTCCGAAAATGAGGAGATTTCCCACTTTATACAAATGTTCCCATTCGAAGATTTCCCTTCACCTCCTGCCCTGAGGAAGACTCTAAGGTTTTGGATTTTGCTGCACTTTCTGTTTTGTTGACAGTTGTCCCCAGTATCAATAAAGTAATAAATCTCCCCAATGGAGACTGGGCAAAAAACTTGACAGAAGAATTCTTCCCCACTCTTTCTGAAACTTTAATGTATACTATTTATATAAGTATATCCAAAGCCAGCACTTTATTTTTCATTTTGAATAGAGTAAGGGAGGGTTAAAACTGATTTCATGTTTTTGGGGGGGGGTTTTTTGCCATCTGTGTCTCATTAGGGGTATTTCCTTTCACTTCCTGTCTTGTAGACTAAACAGAACTTGAAAGGATATCTTTCCAATGTGAGGGAAATACACTCTTAGAGAACTGTCACTTGAACAAGTGTCCCCATTGGAAGATTTCCTCTATATTCTTTTTCTGTTGGCAACTCATAATTTAGGATCTATTCTCACTTTTATTACGGGTGACATTGGTATCATGTTATCATGTTAGAAAGAGGGATTGTCCCTAAGACAGTGAATAAAACCCGAACGTGGTTCTAACCCTTCAATACTCTAATAAAATCTTTGCTATACTTTAATAGTCTATTTTTCAGTTTTAAAGTGACCTTAAAGGCTCTCCCCCATGCTGCTGTAGGCACTTTACCTTTTTTAATGCCCCTTGATGCAATTATCTTCTTCATTCCACTCGTTTCACGACAATCCCTCCAGCGCTGGTGCCGGTCTCTGATCAAGCGAAGAACCCTCCCACCGAGCCTGTCCCGCGTGCACGCTCCCGGCTGTCAGTCTATGTCCTTCCACTGTCATTGTCTGGTTTCTCTCTATTGCTCATGCGCCCGCACACTTTCTCCTTCACAGCTGTTCGGGAGGCGCGGAGTTCTTCAGCTGGGAGCGAGCAGCGCTGGAACAGGTAAGTTATTAGATAGTTTTCCACTTTTTCTTTTTTTTTCATTAAATCATGGGACGTATATCTACTGCTTGCCAGCTTGCTAGCAGTAGATATATGCCAAAAAATATTTTAATTCTACTTTAGATTTAGGAAAAGTATTCCGCAATGGATATCTCCAAAAGTCCTTTACTATTCAGTAAACCATTAAAACTTTTAAAAACCGCTTCTAAATACCTTTATTTTAGTATATATTCTAGGTCATGTGACCACCAATATCTTCCAAGCTGTTCTTCCCTTCCAGGGAGAATACAGGCTACAATGACACGCCTATGTCCCCTCTCTGTGGTATAGAGGAGTGAAGGATCAGTAAGCCTATGGGCGTATGACCCGGTTGACAACGTACGTGTTATGACGATATTGGGGGAAGATGGGGAAATGCAAATCTGAGGGTTTACAATTATGTAATTTCAGCAGCAGGACTGTGGTGTTGCCAGCTAGTCACAGGAAATGAGGCCACAACAGGACTGGCAGAATCAACAGGCAAATACTTAAAAACAATGGCGAAAATAGATAGCAGCTTTACTAGATTTTGTCAGGAGTTCCACTTTAAAGCAGTATTATGCTTCAAAGCATAGAAAATGTAATATTGAATCAACTGCAGTGTTAGTGTCAAATTAAAATGTTACCAGTTGACCATATAATGGTAGAGTCAC